CAGCCAGCCTGGCTGGCTGGGGAATTCTGGGAGTTGAAGTCCACATATCTAAAAGTTGCCAAGATTGAGAAACACTGATATAGAGAGACTAACAATAAGTTGCTTGTCTTGTGAATCCAACATGCAATTATGATGGTGCTGGTCAGGTTACAGGTCGAATTAATGTTTTGAGGGTAAATCTTACCCTTCAGGGACATCTGATAATTATTTAGTAAACATAAAAGTTTTCAATTAAACAAAACTAAGACTCATTTTAAAAAGAGAGGAAGGCAGATTGAAAAATAGATGTTTTTCTCCTCTCCAAAATCAAGACTGTAGCAGAAGCCTTTTCCAATTTTATAGAGGTATAGTGGAGAAACAGTGGGTCTATGTGCATGTTCCATTTACATTATGCACACACAGCTAACTTTAACAATGCAAAAGATTTAATTCCACAGGATTAAAGCAATAAATGGAAGGCAAAGCCTGTGCAATATTGAAAATGACACACTAATCAACAGAAGGGGGATTAATGACTGTAACAACTAATGTGATTGCAGCTTCAGAAGGCCAACCATATCTAGGCTTTGAGCAAGCAGACGTGAGTGAAGTTGAACATCAGAATATATGGTTTAATGCAATAAAGTGACATGCATTTGAGCAGCTTCAGTCCTCTGCTTAAATCATTTGAAGCAGCTTATATGCAGAACAGCCGCTGCTCTTAATCCACAGTAGTAAAAAGTCCAAAACCCAGTAAAGACACCTGAGTTTTCTTTTAAGCAACTGGGGGGAGGATCGGAATCTAAGAAAAGCTCTGGCACCTTAGTGCCTTACCAGTTTAGTGTGGAAATTAAAATGAGAAAGGCAACTGCTTTAGGGAGATGTACTTCTCCTGGCATGGGTGGAGGACATGATGGGATTCTATATTTCTGCTGGGAAATTTGCAGAGATGCCAATCCAGTTTAGCAACCATGGATAATGATACTATAGATAACGAGACCTTGAAAAAATATACTTTCTGAATACACAAAAGTTTGCCCATCATCTTGCATATGCATAAAGTTTTTAAAAATTTCAGGAATGTGAAAGCTGTTACCACTGAAGTCTGGTCTCTTTTTAACAACTACAGATACATGAAACCACAGGTAATGGAACCATGAGTAACAAGGGCCATCTGTGCATTTGTGCAGGTCAGATTCATTCCAACACATGAATACTAAAACTACTTATTGCCTAGCACTGAATAAAGTTTATTTTAGTAACTCAAAAGGGCAACTTCAATCTTTACTGCTGGTCTCACTGCTATAAACAATGGTAAGCATAATATCTTCCACTTTAGCAGGTGCACAGGGAATCTTTTGTGGGTCTGAGTGGAGCTAGATTGAAGCTTGATGAAATACCCGAGAAAGGCAGAAAGTATTTTGACAGAAAAATAATGTCATTGCCCAGAAGCCTTGTCTTATAACAGCCAAATTAGCCTACAAAGTTCTGTTATATTGCTGAGCTGTTGGTATGCCTGGATACATGCTTGGCAGATGTAGATATATACAGCCGCCTTTGAGTCAAGTTCAACTCCTAATGACTTCATGGACACATCCTTCTTTGCAACAATATGGAAATGGTTTGCAATTGCCTTCACCCAGAAAGTTTCTGACTTCCTGGTCCAGTTCACAACCCTGGTAGTCTCCTGTTCAAGTACTAATCAAATTAAACCCAACACATCCTTTCAAGGTCAGCCAAAGTCAGATAGGTACTAAGCCAGACAGAATACAGAACAGAAAATTGAGGCATGCACGCAGTCCATAGCTAACTCACATCTGTGTCAAAATGAAGGGCTAGGCAGGGGTACAAAAGAGCAGAGGGAATCTTCTGTATCAGGAATAGGCAACCTGGCACCCCCCAGTGGTATGGACTAACATTTACCAGTCCCAGTCAATGTAGCCAATAGGATGGAATCGTTAATAAAAATATCAAGAGGATACCAGATTGCCTACCTTCCCTGACATACAAGCATTTTGATCATGCAAGGCCAAGCTATATTGTTCCAGAATGTTTTCAGAGAGGAGAGCACAACTTCTCCACTCTAAGTTTTAGTCTCAATAAAATTTAGTATAGTCATAATTTCTGGTTAGAACCATAGTAGTTTCTATACATGGGTATGAAGCAGAATAACATTTTTCTCTTTTGCTGTTTCCAAGACTGGGGTTGGTTTTTATATTGAACTGATCATGCAGTTTGCTTATTTCAACTAACAGGCATCCTGGCAGAGGATTGAGCATTCAAGACGTGGATTAAAAAGCAACAACAAATCAAACACAAATATTGCTTTTCAGCTTTCATATGTTTGCATTCCCCAGAACTTCAGGAAAAGCTATTTTATCTTCATAAATATTCTGAGTTACAAAAGAGAAATGCATTTGCATGCAAAGAAGAAGAGAAAAATACCTGAACTCATCTGAATGCTGTCTCAGTTCAGGTCTACCTCTAATAATAATAATCTATGCAAAGGATAATAGATTGCAAGACACACATTCTAGATTAGTGTGCACTGAAGAGTGGCCTATTGCCACTTTTCAGCTGCCTCCTGCATTTCAATGTTTATTTCTGTATTTGAGATAAAAGATTGGAGTTGCCAAATGAACTAGTAATACCCATTTTCGTTTTAGACTCTAAGCCTTCAGACTGAATGTGCTGCAGCTGGTCTTGTTGTTGTTATTAACAATGGATACAGTGAATTTTCCTGCAAACACAAGCTTTGTACAAAGGGGAGGGAATCACATAAGCCTTTATTTTCTCCCCAGATGGCCTTTGATGGCACATATTCACAGAATGCAGCCATTATTTTCCACAGGAGATCCATACATCCTTCCAATATGAATATCTGGATTTCCTTTCCAGAAAACCTAAGCACTGTATATTAATTAAAATAATATTAAGATTCCCTGTAAAGATGTGTGTGGAATATCAGCTGGGTTCTTACATCATACTAAGCCACAGTTGTGGTTTACTGAATAAAACATAATTAGCTTTGCCCAAATGCTAAACCACAGATCATGGTTTCCAAACCACATAACACATTAAGCAAAACCTTAACACAGCAATAGCTAATTGTTAGCTAGGGAATTACTGAAACAACAGCTGTGGGAGATAAATTAGCTTCTTCCTTGCATTGAGGTTTGGGTCAGGTGGACACATCTTTTCCTCCACCCTATCAGCTGCTTCCTTAGCACAGTATCTCATATGATCTGTCTCTTAATTGTATTTGGGTAAGGCCAAATGCTTGGTTTCTGGACTGTAGGAGATTTACAGAGACAAGCTGGAGACTCTGGATGTGTTGCACCATTCTGCACAGGACATTTTTATGCTCTGTAGGGGATTTGGGGTAGCAACTCAAGCTGCGGAAAGGCTTTTTTCTTAGAGAAAAGGAAGAGGGATAGGAAAAGGAAAACAATTGGTCCAAGGTTCAAAGGGTTGTTTTTGGCTAATCTGTTACCAACATTGTTCTGCAGATGTAATTTTGCACCCTGCCAACTACATCAATCTGCAGTCTGAAACAGAGAGGGGTAAGAAGAATGCATCCTATCCTATGACCCCTAGAGCAGAGTCTTACCTAGGGTTGCCAGAAGATCAGTCCTGGCTTTTCTTGTACTCTTCTACTTGATGTGTAGAAATTGACAGATGAAGCTTTTCACATCTTCGAGAGAAAACATTATCCCCTACCAATATCTGCATGTCTATCATGTTACTGTGAAAGGCAGAGGGCCACTGAATTGTTGGAGAGTCAGCAGCCCTATTTTGAACTAACTGATCCCAAGATGATACATTTCTCTTTTGCCTGCCAATTTGCCTTCCCCATCATTCCTCTTCTTCATTGTCTTCCCCCCTCCCCCGGTCTCCTTTTCATGCCCTTTCCTGTATCTCCCAGATGCACTGCAATGTCTTTGCAGATTCAGAATATGGCTCAGGGTTCCAGCTGCACCATCCATACCATGTTCAAATATCTTTAACACTTCTTAAGATTTAAGAAGGCAGTGAGTAGGTCCTCCACTGGGTTACGTATCTGGTACATAAGTGGACTGGGTTCACACATTGCACTAAATCATGGCTGCCATTTTTTTTACAATGCTGTCTGAAAAAGCCAAATTGTGCCAAGCCATAAACCATGATTTACATACTATAAAACCTTGCACAACATATTAAACTAAAATCAAAGAAAACCACACTATGACTTAGCATGATTTGTGAACCCAGCTGAAGTACACACACACACACACACACACACACACCATAAAACTATAGTTGACTTCTCTCCTTTTCGCAGAACATTAAAAGCACACTATATGATTCTATCTGAACTACAATGTGCCAGCTCTGATTTGACTATGCTACATGGAACAATCAGATAAATATTCTAACTGCCTGCTTACTATGTTTACTATTTATGAGAACTCCAAGTCAACCAAATCTAGATGAATAGTGGGAAATTGAGGACAGACAAAAATAAATCCTTCTTCATGCGGTGCATAGTTATATTGGCATGCCTTTCCACAAAATGGAGAAAGTACAGTTGTGTGAAGTTTTGACTTCAACAGAGATTTGCATAAAGCACCATTGGAAAGCAAAGTGGTCCTGACGGTTCTAAGAGTGAAGCGACCATGTTGGTTCACCTCACTGTACTTTGTTACCACCTCTCAGCAATCTCCTACAGAGCTTTTGCTGTGGTAGAAGGCTGAAAGGAGTTCCTTGTGTGAGTACTACAGGAGAAGGCTGAAAGAAGCCTTCTCCTACAGCACTGTCCAAGGGCTTCCTGATATGGCAGTTTCAGTGAATGCTGTGACTGATTATAGTGTACACCAAAAGCAGTCACTTGGCACACACTGAATGAAGGTTTTCCAGGCTGGGACATTTTGGCAAACACTGAAGCTGTCCGGCCTGGTGTGTTCTCTTGATGATCTGCCAGAAGCTTTTGGCGTATGGTTTCGAGGAGGTAAGTGATGTCTTCTCTGCAATCCTTGCCAAAGGAAGAGGCAAGCAATCCTGAGAATGTGGTACTTGCCTTGTCCAAACTACTTGCCAGAACCTCATCCACTGAAGTCTTCCAGGCCAGGCAGCTCTGGGGCATACTGTGGACAATCCCAAAACTGCCCAACCTGGGAATTCTCCAGCTGGCACTAGGAGAGAAGTCTGAGAAGAATCTTCTCCTGCAACACTGGCCTATGTGGTTTGAGGCCACTCAAATTGTTTTGTTGAGGCAAATCAGATCATGATTCACTTCAGCTATAGTGTGAACTTAGTTTCATTGAAAATATTTCATATTTTCATGAAATTTTCATGAAAATATTTCATAGTATGAACGGTTTCACTAACGTGAACCTAAGTCTCATCACCTAGGCCTTGTAGAAAAGGGATCAGACAAGCTGATAAGACAAATAAGGCTTTCAGGAGCTACTAATTATGCTGGCTATATCCTGCCTCCAAGATCAAAGGCTTTATGCCACCTAATACTTGCTGTTGGGAATATGACCAGGAGGGTGAGGTGGGTTGGGCTGAGAGAGAGTGACTGGCCCAAAGTCATCCAGCCAGCCTTTTTTATTTATTTTTATGATTGTATACCATTTGCTTCTGCATTCTCTATGAATTTTTATATCACAAGATTCCCTTGTTAATTTTGTTAGTTTCTCAATGTTTGAGCATTAGGTATATTGAGATGTGATTAAAAAATCTATCATGGCTAGGATCAAAATGGCAACCCCATGATGGTTTCCTTTTTCTGCTAGTAAGGTAAACAGATAAAAAAAAAAGTGAGATGAGGATATTGGCAATAGCCATAATGATCAGTAGGATGACCACATTTGATTAAACAATTAATATGGGGAAATAGGAAGCAGCAACCTATTTAGTCAGACCACTGGACTATTTAGTGCAATGTTTTCTGTAGCAAATCTCCAGAGATTCAAGCCAACTCAAACTTATGCTATAGATTGGAACTGGAATCCTTTGCATGCAAAACTGTTATTTAACATTGAGCTATGGTTCTCCCTTTAATAGTAATCAACTATAATTAACTGGGCAGTAGATTTTTAAAAATATACTACTTTTAATGTAGGCATACGTAAAATCTACAGAGGGCGAGTGGCACCTTAAAAGAGGGGTCCCTCATTCCCTTCCCAGGATATAAGTTAATGCCTTCTCCAGCATATGTGTGCATCTTCTCAAACAGGGCTTGGGCACATCCGTATTTTGTCAGATGACATATCCTATCAGCAACAGCCATGGTGGCCAATGGGAAGGGTTGATTAGAAAATCCAACTACATCTGGATTATTCATATTGCATAGACTCAATAAGAAGTTAACTGGTTAATGCAATTAATCAATTACTATTTTTTCAATCGGATGGCAATCAAAAGTGTCATAATGATGTGTGTACAGACACAGGAAGGAGAATGACACATGGCTGCTGCTACTTTTGGGTGGCAAGTCAAGTTTTCACATCTTCTTATATCATTCTTTTCATTTTTGTGCTCAACACAGACTATTTTGCAACAAAGACATAGTCAAATAAAGAGCAGGATTGGTTGAAAACACTGATTTCAGGACATTTTTGATATACATACATATATAAAAAAATCATATATACAATATAAATATAGTCATATATTTTAAAAATGTATTTTAGCTCTAAATATGAATACTTCATTTCTCTAGCCTGAGCATACATCGGATAATGGTGGTCATTTAACCAAATTTCCAGTTTAAACAGGCCCCTTAGCCATCACCATGATTCTGGAAGGACTTACACAAACAAGATAAAGATCTGCAGGGGAAAGCCACTGGGAAAATGCAATCCATCACCTTAGCTGCATCGCAGGCATGGAGAACTTAAGTTGGCGGTGGGCGATTATATCTCAACATTAAGTTGAAGGAGTGTGCAAAGTTGTTGGTGAGCTTGCAACTGTGTGTCTCCTCCACTAGAGGGAGCAGAAAGGCAAGGAGCAGCAGCAGCAGCAGCAGCAGCTGGAGGGGTAAAGCTGCACAGCACACACGACGTAGGAAGGAACATGCACCTGCGGGTCGACCCTGAAATATAGAAGTCACAGGCATTAATGAAAGCTAATACAAATCTGAACTGAATCAGGCTTTTCCCAAGTAGTGGAAACATAAAATAATAAGGGAATTCGCCAAGGCCAAGCTCAGCAATTTGGCTGGCTTTCTGGTAGATGTCTGAGCATGCACTGCTTTGTGGGGTGTTGAGACAGGAGTGAGAAATACTGTACCCAAAGGCCCCAAGGGAGCTATCATCTTCCAACATGCCACAGCACCCACAATCCACTAAATATAACCATCATTATTACTAGTATTACTATTTAAAGATTTAAATTTCAAATAATCCCAAATATGTTCTACAAGCATGGCAACATCTTGTGTCATCTTGTACTAGGTCTTGTGAAATTTCAGGACTCTCATGTGAGATTTCATTGCTGAAATCTTGTGAGATTTGTTTTGGTTTTGGTTTTGTTTGTTTGTTTTGCAAGAGTTCCAGATCTGAGAAAGTTGAAGAAATCCTGAAAAAAGATTTTGAAGAGCACAGCATCATAGCACTAATCTTGATATCTTGAAAAGGTCTTTCCTTGATTCAGCCAACTTTGACAACTTCTTCCCTGTCTCCAGTCTCTCCTTTTTAGTGAAGATTGTTGAGAAGGTGGTGAGGAATCAACTATAGAGGCTGCTATACCTGTATTCCTGCCAGTAAGCATTCAGTGCAGCCTCAGCCATGGGATAAAAATAGCACTGGGCACTTTGGCTGATCATTTTTATCAGAATATAGATGGGCAAGTGTCTTGGTTCTACTAGTCTGTTTAGCAGCATTTTATAATATTGAGTGTTGTATCTTTTTGGACCATCTGCAAGAGTTGGAAGTTGGGGCACCCTTTTATGGTGGTTTTGCTCCCACCTGAGTAGATGGTTCTAGTTGGTAATAATTAAGGGGAAGAACTCTAACGTTTGGTTATTCCAGTATAGAGTTCTTTGGGGCTCTGTGCTCTCTGCCATTTATATGAAATCACTGGAAGATATCTGTTGGTTTGGAGTGAAGTGTACTTTGCCACTCCAGGCTGTGCCATAGATGCTGAGTAAACCCTGAACTGAAGGTGTCAGGACCTGAATGGGATGAAACAAGCTCAAATTATACCCTTCCAAGACAAAGTTGCTTGGACAGCATCAGGGCAATGTGATAACATCAGTCCTAGCACTCTCCCCTGAAGAAGTTAGTTCATGACTTGGTGGTTCTCTTGGCCTCAGGTTCCTGTGCAGGCAGCAGTTCAAAGCTATGCCAGGGAAGCCCTTGTTCAGGTGATGCACCAGTTATGATCCTCCCTAGTCCATGACACCCCAGGGATAGTGACTTATACTTCAATTGGGCTACAGCAAGGTACTGTATGTTAGGGTGCTGTTGAAGATGACTCGGCACCTGCAGCTGGGCAGAATATAGTAACTAAAATGCTGGAGGGCTAAGCCCATCTCTGCAAAATAACACAAATTCTCAAATTGCTGTATAGGCTCCAAGTAAACATCTGAGTCCAATTCAAAGTGCTGGTTATCACCTTTGAAATCCTTTATGGTGTAGCTCTGGGTTATATCAGGCACAGCCTTGCCAGAATTGAATGTGCCAGTCTAGTCTGAACATCAAGAAAAGGTCTGCAAACAATTCTTCACCCATGAAAAGTGCATGGGGGATGGGCTAGGTGGCCAACTTTCTCCATCATAGCATGCACTTTCTAGAACATGCTTCTTTGGGAGGTATGTTTGACCCCTCCCTCCTCACATTTCACAAGACAGTTAAAACCATATTATTCCACTGTCTGTTCATCTCAAATTATGAGCATTTCTTTTGGACATGTATCGCTGTTTTTATTTGACTATTACTATTTCTATTTTGATTTCTTTGCTGCCCAGAGTCTTAATTAATTGGGGTGGCCTATAAATACTGTAAAGAACAAAATAAACAAACATCAGTCCTTTTCTTCTCTGCCCCAATTTGATTAACTGCTATCTCTTCAACAGATGCAATTTCCCCTTAAAAACACTGCACATCAGATGCATTAATCATAGGTAGTTGGCCATGTACATTTATAAGACATTTGATTTTTAACCAACTTTCCAACAATTACTGAATAAGGCAATCTGTTTTTAAAAATTATGTTGGATAGTATCTTCTGTGCAAATAAGCAAAGCTTCTGTAATGGCCTAGTCCACGCCCTTTAGAAAAGAAATAGTGAACATAAAAGGCAAACATTTCTGGGTGCCTAAAACCTCTTTCCAGGAGCCAAAAGCCTGGATCAACTCAACATTAGCTTGCCAGCCATTCAATCTCTAAGAAAACATTCTGTATTATGAAAGAACTTTTCCAGACAATTTTTCTCCCTTGAGGGAAAACACAGGATATTTTAAGCATTCATTTTGTGATTGCCAAGCACTAGCTACAATTTTTCCAAAATGTTTTCATGCCAAGCAGGAACTTGATGTCTCTTGGACAAACTGACTCATCAAAGTGCAAGTTTCACACTCTTTACTCCTAGCAGAAATGTTTCTTACTTGTATGCATTTCCTGCATTTGAGGAATCTACCATGTTGGCTTGTTCAGCATCTGAAGCACGCCATTGTCTTTCTCAGCTTAATCATAGGAGGACATCAGAAAGTTCCCCCATTATAAATAATCATCTTTTTTTCATTAATTCTTGTACAATCTTACATTTTTCCAGCTACCAGGGAATTAAAAAAAGGAAGTAGAACAGATGATTAAATCTGAGTTCGATTCAGTACCCTTAATGGCTATGTCTGCTGCTCAGCAATGCCTCATTATAAGGACAAGTGAAAAAAATGTGGACCAAAATCAAAACATGGCCTGTCCCACAAGCATGATTTTGCTCACACAACAGCAGAGCTGCAAAGAATAAACCATCACAATGACATGTAGTAACACCTTACACACATTGAATACAATGGTATCACAACAGGTTGCCTTGGAAGCTACGTTTGCCATTTCAGAAGCACTGAAGAGCTAAGAGCGAATCTAATGTGCTCTGCCCCCCATTTGGTTGCTTTACCAAACTCTTCCCTGGAGGTGAAATTCTGCAGCTTGCTTGTCACAGAATAGTATCAAGGGGACAGCAGGCGAGACAGTGGCCACATTTGCACAATCATATCTCAAATTAAATGAGGTTATATGAATCATTTGGCTGGTGCATGCATTTCTTTTGTAAACCAGCTGAGAAGGCTTCCATTAATTATAATTTCTCATTTTGCCTGAAAAACTTAGTGAACTGTTTTGGAATAAATCAAGCAAGGTTGATATTATGGCTAACTCTCTTAGTTTTTCGATTCAGAGGAAATGGGATGTGATAGTTAACAAGCTTCCTGAATTGTTCACTTGTGGGTACAAATGGAGGATTGAAGTGGCTGTATGCATAGTAAAAGGTTAATTCAAATCTAGACTTATTAAGCCAGGATGCAATTGCCCAAATGTTATAATGTAAGTTTTCTTGGTATTTTTCAAAGGTATGACATTTCCGAGTTAAGAACAAAAGAGATCCTCCAATCTCAATTTGCTATTTGACTTTATCAAGAATAGGCAGAAGGCAATATGAAAGGGCTAACTTGATTAGGCAACAGAGGCCATTTTCAACTGGATGCTGTCCGCCCCACTGAAGATATCTATACGATACTTAATGCTTAGATTCTCACATCATAGTAAGCCACAATTTTGTTAATTATTTTTTCTTGAGTAAGCCACAAGGAGCCTCTGAGAGCTAAAAAGGCAATCTGAAGAGCCCCAAAACTAAATATATTTTGAATTCCTTTTTAAAAGGCTGAAATCCTAAGACGTGTTGGTGCTCTTGCAGAAAATCTGAATCCATATTAAAAAGCTGAAATCTCATGTACATGAGATTTTCATGTTCTAATGTGTCATTTCAGGGTTGAGATCAATAAAATCTCATCATTTGAAAAGATTGCTGATAGCAGGCATAAACCATGTTGTAGCTAGGAGCCCTGCGTAAACCTAATCAGCATCTATACATTCTAACAAGACTGATCTACAGAAAGCAATACAGAAGAGGCTGGCAGAAAGCTTATTCCAGCCATGATTGGTTAGATATGCTTTGGAAGTGTTTGATTTTGTTTTCAAAATGCTGCTAGACCAGGTGAAGGAGAGGAAGTAATTTCTAAAAACCTTCAACTAAATAAATCTTGCCCCTAAACCAAGAGGTACATTCGAAAAATGTGAAGGCCAGGACTCAAAATGGACAAATTCTTCATAATTTCTTATTTTATTTTTTTAATTTTTATTTAAACATTTCATTATACTTTGCAAGTGTGTGTGTGTGTGTACTTCTGATGGCAAAATTTCCCAACTAAAGTTGCAGGTTTTCTTCTTCATCAATAGAGGGTAGAAAAATATCTACTTCTGCTTCATTGACTATGCAAAAGTCTTTGATTGTGTGGATCAC